CAGGTCTGAAAAATCAATAGAATTTTTTCTCCTTATAATATCCTATTCGTCTTATCTATTGTAGATGGTAATCTACATTGAAGCATGTGAATCTGGTTCCATGCTCGAAGGTCTCTTGCCTGCTAACATCAACGTCTATGGTACAACAGCCTCGAGTGCCGAAGAACCATCATATGCTTGCTATTATGATGCGAAACGCGGTACATACTTGGGTGATGTCTACTCGGTCGCTTGGATGGAAGATTCGGATGCGGAACAAATCAATAAAGAAAGCTTGCTCACTCAATATCAAGTAGCCAAGAAGAATACTAATACTAGTCATGTTATGCAATATGGAGATCTTGTCAGTGAAATTATCGATACTTAATTTTGATAGATCGAATATTGTTTATCTAGAATTTGGGAAAAAGTCACAACGTCAGTGAATTTCAAGGTGCTGGAACACAACCAATGAAACCAATTCGCAATCCTTTCACTGATCGTTACAATGATTTGCTCAAAGTAAGAAGAAGAAAAAAAATGAAGTATTGTTCTCTAATTGTTCACGTGCTTTACAGCGTGATGCAGTTGCCACTGTCGATGTTCGTGTGTCGACTGTTGTTCATCGTTTGGATAACAGCGAGTCTGCGGTCGAGAAGGCAGCATTGAAACGTGAACTGGTTCAATTGCTCAACGTAAGTCAGAGACTTAAATTATTGCTTGCCTCATTATTTCACTTCCAGGACAGAAGCACGATCTCTGAGCACATCTATCAGATCGCTTCAGTGGCATTGTCGATCAAACATAGTCATTTCTATGAAACGGTCACACAAAAACGTATGAAACTTACTCAACACGATTGCTACAAGTCGGTCACACAATATATTCACACTAAATGCTTCGATTTGCAGGTATATCAAAATAATTGCATATTGGCTTTTTTAAGATTTTTATGTTCTTTTTTGTTCACTAGAACGAATATGTTCTTAACAAACTCTGGATCATGGCTAATCTATGTGAAATCGGTTTGTACGATTATACCATTAATCAAGCAGTCGATCAAGTATGCACGAAACGACTCAATTTTGATTATTAATTTATTTGATTATGGTGTCGACGATGACGACAACATTAAAATGAAGACAAACATTGACTCGTATCTTTCATTCCTTTTATTCTTATTCTTTTCTTAAAATAAAATTCACTATACACCTAAAGATGAGAAGTGTTCACTGACATCATGTGACTATTGAGATTCTTCATCACTTTTTTTGCTCTTTACACTATGTTTTATCAGTGACCTGATAAGAAGGTTGGAGCAGTAGCGATGACAGCAAACAACAACGTTCGCTAGCTGAGTATGCACACACTCTCAGTCAAATGATGAATCCTCGTATCAATCCTGATCATTTCTTGAGAATACCTGGAAGGATGACCCAGGATCCTGAGATGTTAGGATATGATCATGTTTTGATCAAGATCCCATTTCCGATCATAATTATTGCTGCTTTGAAGATGTTCTTCAGTTTTGCAGGATTTTTTTAAGATCCTATTCTGAATTTTTTTTCTTGGAAGAAGAATTTAGGATCTTATCAGAATTCAGTCCCAACCTTGATCAGAATTCTTATAAGAAGGAAAACAAGAATCTTGTCTAGATTTTGGCAGATTCTCACTCAGAATCAGTTCTGGATGTAAATGCACTATTGAAACACAGAAACCTGAAAAACAAGAATTTATACATTGTCATCAATGGATATAGAGGATGCGAATTACGTCCTCGATTGAGAAATGTTTAGAAAATTTGCGTTTTCTTTGTACAGATTCTTGATGAATAGGGTCACCTTGTATCGAATTAACTTTTCTAACGGAGAGAATGCTTACAATCAAGGATTACGGGTATAATCCTTAGTGGGATGGAAATGATAGTTGTTCTGGTATTGGAGAGCGGTTTGATATTGTTTCTTAAATGATTCCATGTTCATGATGGATCATTTCGAATTGGTTTGAATGGTCGATTTGAGTAGAGGAAATAATTTTGTGAACATGTTGATCGTCACGTATGTAGTGTAGATTAGTAGCATAAATGTTTCAGCATTTCTGAACGATAGATTTGTTTCACTGGTCAAAATATTTGTCAGATCCGCACATTGGAACCATCTAGATCGAAAAAACACCTTGACCGAAACTAAAAGTGACATTTTTTTTGTCGAACTTGCGTATGTTTTTGAAGAAAATAGTGAGTGTAAGCTTTCAGTCAAAGTTTTCCGGCTCCATCCTTCCCCTCCATTACAGACGGATTACACGATTTAATGCCATAGTATTTACTGATGCTGTAAATATATCTTTAAAAATACAAGTTTTTCTGTTTTTTAAACTCAAGTTAAAAGGTTTTTTTAGTTGAACATAAGCTACATGGCATACTGAGATAAAATCTGATGATCACAGTAAAAATTTCGTTTTTTATGTCTATGTCCAAGGTTCATATTTCATCTCAAATGTTCGTCAAAATGTTTTAAAAACTAACTATAGTTCGTAATTGAATAGATAGTTTGATTTTTTTTTCATTCTCATCTCAGATGTTCGTGAAAATACCATTACATCTATCTATAGTGACAGTTGATTTTGTTCTTTAATTCACAGATTCAATTTTCAACTCAAATATTCGTAAGTAGATTTATTATTGAACTTTTATTCAACAATTGTGTTACGAATTCTTATTATTATTAGGCTAGAACGCATCTTCATGAAATTCAAACTAAAACCGTAAATCAATTGAAAAACCAATGTCGAATGAAGATAATAATTTGTGGATTTTTAAAAATAATGTATTATAATATTCTTTTTTTAATCTAGTATCTGCTGTTGAATCACTTATTGCTAATGATAAAAATAAACTACTAAATTGAATAAAAAATTTGATCGAGAAATAATTTCTTTTGGTTATTTAAAAGAACCGATTGAAATAATTGCATATATATATATCATATGTACAGCTTTTGTAAACTATATAGAAAAAATTCAAGTAGATTATGAAGATATGGTTGAAAAATAATTAGCTAACATACAAACATCAATTGTTGAACTCGAAGCCAGGTATAGTCATATAAGTAGAAGACAAAAAAAAGAAAATTATATTATTATAGAAAGTACAATATTTAGATTATCATCAAAATCATTAACGAAATAATAATTCATATTTTTTCTTCTTCTTGCTTTTCTGCTAGAAAAGAAAAAACTTATATTGATTTATTTTTTCTTTATTCACCATTTAGAATTATGTCATGTTTATTGTGATCTGATCAAAATAAAAACTCAAACAAGATCCAGTGGTTTTGATAAGATGCGTCAATATCATAAAGCATTTTCACCTTTTAATAAAGATGATAAGAATATATAATTGCAGCTTAAGAACTTGATATGAAAATGTTTGTTTTATTTTGATGAAACAATTGTTTTTATCAATTTTAAGTATTACTTTTCATCCATGTGTTTTATCGCCATGAGAAACCGATTTACAAGAAATTTAACAATAAATTAGTCATATAATTGAATTTTGATATATTTGTCAAAGTAGCACAAAATTTTAAAAAACAAATAATAAAGACTATAGACGATAGTATACATGGAACATGTCATATATTTGATAAATATGGTATTGGATATGTTAATGTTGCTAAACTGAAACATCCCATGCTTCCATTGAATGAATAACTTACAGAAGAAGTTCACGAATTAACACAAAGCTGATATTGATGCTGATGAACAGTTTGTATCTAACTAACTAGAAAACTTTTAAAAAAAAAATAATTTCATTCATTTTTCTATTTCCACATTTAGGTGCAACTGCGAAGATTTTGTATGTATTTTAATAAATAGACAACGCGAAAATATGCTAGAATTTTTTGTCCATAATAAAATGAACAAAATAATATACATTTCGTCTGATAATAAGTCCAATAGCTTTTCGATTTAATCTCTATAATTCATACATTCCTCATTTTTTCCTTTAATATTCTATTTTAGCAATATCTATGGTTCGGCATATTTCTTTTTTCATTTTTGCTTTTTTTCTTCAAGCTCTGTATTTGTTATTATTGCTTCAGTTTGTTTAAATATAAACTTACATATGAATGATAAAAAAGAAAAATGCTTCTTTTTTGCCTTCATCAATTAGATATGAATGATGAAATAGTTAAATTATTTATTATTGTATTTAATTGTTCAATATCTATCTGATGATGATAATACTACAAGGAAAAAATATCGAAATATCATATATTTATTTTATTATACATCCCTTCATATTTAGTTCGATTTTCTTTATTTATTCCATTTAACGATGTATTGTAATACATTTTCATATATGATATGGCTATATAGTAAAACGATAAAATAAAGCATAATAATGTTGTTCTACTTTCTTTGTCATAGTAGAAGCGACTAGTATTAAACATTGTAGTTATTTTAATACTAAGTTGGTAAAATAATTTATGAAAGTTTCAAAAAGTTTGTTCTTATCGTATGCATGAATGGTGAGTTTTAAAGTGATTTCAGAACTTCTAAGATCCTCTTAATAAGTGTGTAAGCAAACAAAGAGAGAAGTAAGTCTTTATTTTGTCTTTCTCTCTCTCTCACTAATATTGAACAAAAGTTGCACATATGTCAGTCACTTATTGTTCTCTTTTATTGCATACTTGCTGCACGCATCATGTCATTGTTCGAATTAATACGGTTTTTATTCTACTTGCTATCTATCATCATACAGGGTTCTCTCTCTTCTCTTTCTCTCTGCACAACTATTCTGCATCGGTCATGGACGAGTGATCAACATTTTTTTCGAGCGTTGGCCTTGTCGATGGAGTATAATCCACGTAGTATTGCGAAGATAAATACATACTCAGCACGCTTCACTGATTTCTACAGTAGAAGAGGTATTTTTCTTCAATATTTCTATCTTTCACCATCAACAGATGTAAAAGGAATAGGGCACTGTCGTGAAGAGTCACAACTTCATTTTGTATTGATAACATCTCGCGACATCCTAGTAGAATCCGATGACCGATGCATCTTCATATGAAATGATGTTATTACAACAAAAGAAACACACATGAAAATATACATATACATACACACGTTTCTTCTCCTTCAATTCTTTGTTACAGTGTTGTTGTTCAACAAGTCAGCTTCGGAATTAATTTAAATGCATAAAATAAAGGATATTTTTGATAGATAAATTTTATTATTATCGAATGATGAACAAATATATAAAAAATGAAACAAAAAAGAGTGAAGAATACATATTAAAACAAGATGAACGCAAGAAATGTGTAAAAGAAATTCACATTCTCAATGACAATGGTCACTCACCGGATAATTCTCGGTGATTGATGGCCTTGAACGGTAGTCTCTGTTGATAAAGTATGCAGTTGATCGATGATAATCTAGTGATTATTTGAAAAAAAACGTTGAGCTGAGAAAAAAAGATATGAAATTAAAAAGCTCTGTTACCAGTTATAATAAAGTCGCATGAGCAGAAATTTAATCGATGATGGTGCATATCAACATCACCAAGAATAAGAGCAAGACAACAGAATAAAAAAGAAAAAAGAAAAAAGAAAAAGCATATATACAAGTCGATCGATGACTTCGACCGTTCAGCACAAAACAGATGTCATCACCAACACCAGAACACATTATATCAAAGAAAATCAATACTAATTTTTTTTTACTGATATCACATGTGTGTATGTGTCTTATTCTGTTAGATTAGAGCATCCTTCTTTTTTAAATTATAGTCTGATCTTTTAATGTTAATTTTTTTTAACTCAATTTGATTTGGTTTTGATTTCTCTTTTCTGTTTTTTTCGTTCTCTAGCTATGTACACGTGTGTATAGAGAGTGAATCGATATCGACATGTTTTTTTTTCATTTTGTACAATGTCGAAGTTTTGTTCAATAAAACAAAACATAATAATAAACTATAAAACATCGCTATGCTCTTGAAAATTTGATTAAAATCGTACCTTTTACATAAATCCAATCAAGCTCACATATTATAGTAATAAAGAAAATAAGTCATAAATGTCTGCGAAGAACCGAAATAAAAGTAAAATTGATTTGGTTCGTTTTGAATCTTTCTATTTGATAAAAAAAAACAAGTTGATTCGTTCGATATGTTGTCATATGGTGATTAAATAAATAAAAGCATTAAGCCAATCAATCTGATCATTAGAGTCGGCCTCAATAACTTTTCTTCTACCAAATGCATTCTTTGCAAATAACATGGAGCTTGTTTTCAACGTTTTCTATTCAACCTCTAAATCCGAATTTTAGTCATCAATAGCATCATTGATATGAATTTGGAAAAAAAATGATCAGTTTTGTAT